GTTCATACAGTGTATCTTCTTTAATTTAAAAAAACAGCGCACAAAGTTTGATATTTTTGTCATTTACGTTTAAACAACAAAAAAAGAACCAGAAGTCTTTTCCTATTAAAATTCTGTGAACAAATTCTCAACAAAAAAGCCAATATGCCGTCTTCAAAATTATTGTCTGATGAATTCCTGACATTTTAATAAATTGGCTGCTAATCTGTAAGTTGCTCTGCGCCTCTGATTTTTTTGTTCGCTGAAATCTTTTCGTCAAAAAAGCTCAAAGATTTTTTCAAAAGAGATAAGCAAGAACTAAGTATATAATTAGTTATCTTAACTTTCTTCTTGAGACATATACTTTTTACATTTTTTTCTTCAATTGATTTTTCTCTCGCCTACTTTTCAATTCCAATGCTTTTACGCGTGGAGGAAATTAGACGGGAAACCAATTAGATGTCACTAATAAAAGAGAAATGAGGTATTAATTTTCTTTCAACAAACCTACCATTTTGGGCAAAAAGCCATGGGCTGACAAAAATTATTGCCTCCAGCGAAATTTTACAAAAATACAAAAGTATGTGATCCAATTGCAGATTAAAATAACTATTGTAAATTACTTTAGAAATGTTATCCAAACAATATCAAAAAAAATTAAAATGCAAACTCAATTGACATTTGAAATTTGATTTGTCAAAAATTTTGTTCACCAGTCCACACTGAAAGCTGCCCACACTGAGGGGAGGGTAAGGGGGTGTTTTAACTTGATCCAATATTTGTATCCCAAAAACTGTGATCAGTCACACTTCGACCCAGTAAATTATTTAGGGGGGGGGGGGGTCATATGACCCGCCTAGGTTTTTGACCCCATCACCATACAAAGGGACCCCCTTTAGTACTATTTTGCGTATTGTATATTTGTATTTGTATGAATGTATATTTGATACAGATTTGCGTTGTCAAAAAATTACATGCATAAGGGGATAGTTAACAAGGTCCAATAGGGGCAAAATAGTTAACAGGATCCTAATGATCCTATTTTATTCAATATTTCATTTTTGTAATTAGAATTTTCTACTAGTTGATAGTATTTTCCGTTTTAAATTTTTATGCTAGTCGAGTTTTTTGCTAGTCGATACACTGTATCGTCTATCTTCGGGACTTTTGCCTCGTCTATCTTCGGGACTTTTTTTTCTCGTCTATCTTCGGGACTTTTTTGTTCTTATATGGCATAATTAATGTTTCGCTTCTTGCTATCGTTCCGAATCTCATAAACGAAACGCAAATTTCATACTTTTTTCGACCGAAAAAAAACACAAAGAAAACCAACCAATGGATATAACAAACAAATTATTAATAAAAGAGTTAGGAAAGTGGAGAAAAAGCAGAATATTTCGAGAGCCAAAACCCCTCAGTGGCTTGATTATAGACGCGCTTTTCTAAAAAAATCTAAATACTTGTCCATACAAATAAAGAAACATTTTTTCCAAAGTTGATGATATAAACTTATAATTTTTGAGATAAAAAGCAAATTAGCAGGAAAATTTAGCCCAAAATATAGTGCATCTGCTCTCTGTTTGGAACCAAAATGAATTATTTTTCAGATAAGCAGAGTTGTGTAGAATGTGTGGACCATTGTTATAGAGAAATCTACATTATTGTTCCGACTTTCGAAAAAAAAACGAAAAATTTATGCTTCTTCTGGGTTTTTTATTCAGTCAATTTTCGGCAATCGAAAAAATACTTTTCAGCAAAATTTTTTAACCCTCATTAAAGATAACGACTCCCTAAAATCAATTTAAAAAGATATTTTACCTCCGTTGTTTTTTGCAACGTTTGGGGAGCTTGAAATTTGCCAATTTGGCCATGCTCTGGATTAATTTATGCGCGTTTTGTAGAGTTTATCCATAATCCTGAAAGCGTAACGCAAATTGTTTATGCGTGGCCAATTATCCCGCACAACAAAAACGTTCCAACTTGAATTTAGGCTGGCTAATTGTTCGTATTAATTTTCACGCTTTATCTTTGATATTGTCCAGAATTTATAGTTTTTCGACATTCGATTTCCCAAAAACTATTCGATATGGGTTAACGGGCAGTCGGAACATTAAGGAATTTGCCCTGATAGCAGTCTTCTTCTGAGTCTTCGTCTAGTTAATTGTTTAGAATATTTCGCTTGGATTTCTGATATATCAAAATTGAGATTGATAGCAACTGATTTGGGAAAAAGTAAATAAGTAGCCGCTAAAGTAAAGAGTTACATATTTGGCTCAGATAATTTGAAATTTTTTGAAGACTAAATATCCTCTAAGATATAGTAAAATAAATGTAAAAAGCATCAGCGACATTCGCATACACCGAGTACAGTTTGAGATGTTATATCAAGTGAAGTTATAGCAGAGTAGATAGAGAGACGTTAAATACACTCATGAAATGTAAAATAAAATCAATGAAAACAAAATTTATTAAGAGTTTAAAAAATTAACAAGACTGCTCGTATCAGGGCAAAGCCCTGAATGTTCCGACTGCCTTCTAAGGTTTATGGAGCAGCAGTAATAACATAAAAAAATTAAATGAAATAAAAAAGTGAAAATTTTTTTTTCTAAAATTTGAAATTTTTTATGAAAATCATTCCCCCACACGCCATATAAAGTATAAAAAGATAGATTTCGTTCCTTGTAATAAATCAATTATGGCAAACAAGCTTCGTTCAACCAACTTGGAACGATTTATCAGACGGATTAAATCTCCGCTTACGCGTTAATAGCGCGAATTATATCGCGCGGTAATTGTCCCAAATTGGTCAAAAGTCAAAATGGCAATCTTTAAACCCTCATAACTTTACGAAAAATGATCACAGGTGAAATAACTTTTCAAATTTAAGTTCAGGACAACAATACCTTTTGAATGATATAAACAAATTCCGTCAAAAATGGCTAGTTAAAAAGTCGAAATTTGTCTGAAGAAAAAAAACCCACCCCGAGCAAAAATATTCCGTTACTTTCGTAATTTATTTAACCTTCAGAATCAGTTGATACCCTCTCTAAATAGTGCATAAATCTGACGGTTTATTAAAGCACAGGAATCTCACATAACCACGAAACTTTTGAATGGCTGGGCGCTTTTTTGTGTCAAACGTGCATTTCCTAATTGACAAATTTCTAGTATGTTGATGTTGCAACGAAACATGCGAGTCATAAGTTATCGTCGAGAAGACTTTCAGTCCCCTTACAATTAATTACCCGAAGTTTGAATGATTCAAAAAATGCGATGAGGAGTACGGTTTTCGTCAAAAAATTTGATTTTATTATTTTACACCTGGTCAAAGAATAGAAGAACTGCTCAGATCGCTATTCAGATAAAATTGCAGTTTTTGGCCTCTATTCAATAGCGTTAATGCCCGATTTTGTTGAAGGTAAACTAAACAAGGAAAGGTCGCATGATGTGTAATATAGTGGTACCCTCTATTACCAAAACATTTGGGTTCCGTAAGCACAGGTAAGCAGGCTGTTTAGATTTCCACACAAAAGAATGCAAAAAATAGGGAGAGTTATTTTGAATACTGAAGATCACCATAACGCAAATATATTTGGGAAACATCGGCTTTGGGGCAAAACCCGAAATTTTGCTTTATTATTTGAAGCTAATAACCTTTTGATTTAGTAATAGTTTCAAGTATTTAGGCAGTATTTTGAAATTGAACCTTTACAGTGTTCACTGCATATTTTAGTTCCAACCATTAAAATGGGAAGCAACTTGGTATTCGGATGTGTTGTAGCTTTATCTTTTCTCTTTTTTCTTTTCCACGAAAAATGAGGAACCAAAAATAATCATAAGAATGGGTAGAGTGATAAATTATTATTAAAATTTTTTTTCAGCCGTGATTCGAACATAAAAAAAAATTTGGAAAAAATTTCCTCAGTGTCGAGAAAGACCCGTTTGAATTTTTTTATTTTTGGTGTAACTTCGAGCGAATGAGGTGAGCGAGCAGAGCAGGCTTAAAATAGCTTATTTATCCTAATTTAAGCCACGAAAACTTAGTTTACTCGATTAAAGTTAGTTTTTGGAGTTTGTTTGCGCCGTTTTGGGAATCAATAATTTTCAAAAAAAATTTGCGAAAAAAAATTTTAAAAAAAATTGAAGTTTTTCTATTCATTTCTCTACAAAACTGTTTTTATAATTTGCCTTTTTTATGACTGTCAAAAATGCATAAGTTCTAGAAAAATATTTTTGTATTTTTTTAAACTGGTTGGAAGATTCTGTGGTACTTGCAAAATAACCGGCTGTGTCCTTGTTTCAAATTGTCAATGTTTTGTAATGCTACCCCGGGTTGACCTCCATAGATCAAAAATGCTAATCATACAATTCCATAAACGAAGTCTATGAAAAAATACTAATCATACAATTTTCATTGTACAATCAGACACTGATTTTTTTCAGGCCATCCAAATAAAATTTAGATAGTCCCTAAAACACAAAATAAAACCTACTTTGTCCAAAAAATTGCACTGAAGGCAAATTTTGAAAAAAGAAGAAAACCCAGAAATGACTTTTTGCGCACTTCTTGAAAAATTTGGAGGAAATTGCGTTTTTTTAGGCGGGCTTCCTCTTTTGTGTATATTATTGAACTATTTACAATTTTCGTAACTATTACTGACGGAGAAATTTTGACCAAGGCAGGGACTTTTCAGTGTTTTCTATTTTTTTTTTGAAATCCGCCTCCCTCGAGAAAATCCTAGATTCGCCCCTGACTATTATTACTCTACTGTTATTATAAAACTTGTGTATATTGCTGTCCAAGGTGTGTCTTTGAAAAAACGTTTTGTGTCGGTCGACAAAAATGGATGTCGTAAAATAGTACCAAAGCGACCCATTGGTTGGCGAGAGGGTCAAATCTTTGAGAAAAGAAAAAGGCGATCAATTTTTCTTTTTTTTTTAGTTTTTTCTCTTTGAACTTAACGGACATTTATGAATAATCTTTTGAATGAACTCTGAAATACTATATGAACTGATTTTAGGTTGTGAAAATCTAACTATCTTCGAAATAAATGCACGTGATTGATTTGGATTTGTTCAACAAAATGTAACCAAACAATCACACTTCGCGTGTAAAAATTTCGAAACTTATTCAACAATCATCGCTGCAAAGAAACTTTCTTTCAACCCTCTGACACGATGAAGCTACCGACCGATTTCTTCGCCATACCCGAAAAGGCACTTAGCCGAAAGTTTGGTCAATGGGGTTATTTCGTTGCCCAAAATGCCTGGCTTTTTATCATTACAACTGGATTATTGGGCTGTTTTTCCAGTATCGGTTTTTTCTGGCTGCAAACTGAAAAAGATATTGACGTTTTTGATATTTATTTTCCAAGAAATGGAAGGATTACTAAAGGGCTGAAGCAGATGCGTGAAGACTTTCCCGATACAAGTGATACAAACTACTTCGCGTGGCAAGATAACGGTGAATATTTAACCCTGTCAATTTTAATTTGGGACCCTTTGAAAGGTAGCAGAGACGTGGTTCTGAACTCCGCTGTCAAAAAAGACATCCATAAAATTTGTGACTGGGTTCAAGATTATTCGGCTTACAGTCCCAGTATGAATAAAACCCTCACATACACTGACGTTTGTGCAATCGACGGAATAAACCAAGAGTACAAACAGTGTCTTCTGCCCGAATTGTGTCGAGTAGCCGAATGGGATACTGAAAAAGGTGAATTGAAATACTTCAGCGAATCCATTCTTCAAATGTTCAGCGATCCTAAGTTCACCAAGAAGAATGGACTGGGAAACAATGTAGTCATAACACGCGGAGGGCAGTCGGCTAGACTGATATTCTTCTTAAAGAAAGCAAATGAAACTCAACTAGCCGAATCGCATTTCTGGGTCCGACAATGTTTCGAAGACTTGCACGTTATGGTAAAGAAACTCGAATCGGCTAATTACGCGTTATACTCGCTGAGGATCCAATTAGACGAATGGGGCAGTGTATTTGAACGAGACTCTAAGCTTTTTGCACTTGCGGTTATTTTCCTCGTCGGCTTTTCGGTCATCGCTTCTTCGAGCCTTGACTGTTTGACCTCTAGGAGTCTTCTGGCCTTGGCGGCTATTCTTAGCACTATCCTGGCTATTGTGACTGGTATCTCTGTGCTGAGTGTAGCAGGGGTTCCCTTGATCCAAGTGGCCTTCTTAACACCATTCATTATTTTAGGTAAGTGTGCATAAAAAATTGGAAGTTCAAAATTTATTCTTATCGACAATCTCCTTCAAAACAGTTTTGGCTCTTTTCCAGTTTCCCACCCCCCTCGTAAAATTTCAAAACAAAATTGTTCAAAAATTGTTCACACGGCATTTTGCATGTAAGAAATGTTGCAAAAATTTGTTCACCTGTTCACACTGACAAGTTTTAATGCAGTTTATAACACGAAAATTCATTTTAAATAGGTTTTCATGTATTAAACATCCGATAAAATCAAAAGGGGGGAACTGGGAAAGAGTCTCAGTTTGTTACATACTAGTATATTAAATTGCGCGCAAATTCAGGTTTTTTCTCTCAAAAATGCTTGTTCCAAGGATGATTTTGGACATCATTCACTGGGAATTTAAACAATTTTTGGAGAAATCGAGAGCAAATGCTCAGAGCGACTTCTATAAAATTATCAAAGATTGGTTTTAAGGAGTTGACGATTTATTTCGAATTTGAAAATGTAAGTTTTCACTAATATGCACTAGGTTTTGCATCGAATGAACTCTTTCTCGAATAAGCAGAAATGTTCATGCAATGTGAAGCATTCTAAGCAATCAAATGAGTTGTTCTTACTTACAATTTTAGGGGTTTTCAAAAAATATTGTCGATGGTGGAATTTGGCTTTTTTGCAAATTTTTCGAAAAAAATTGGAAAGTCTTTGAAACCAAATTTAAACAATTTCATAGCGAGTAGCTCTGAGCGTTCAATGATGCTGTCCAAAATCATCCTTGAAAACTGGATTTTTGAGATAAAAACCTACATTTTCGCTTAATATTGTCCAGTAGTATAGTCTGTATCATAGTTTTGCTTTTTCCATCCATTGAGTTTGAACTTTGAAAAATTAATTTAGTGTTGTCATAGTACAATTGTCTTTTGCATGTTGAACAAAATAACTCAATTGTTGTACATGCTTCCCCAGTCAAAATTGAATGGTTGTCTTTAAGTTCTTGAAAGCTTCCTTATAGGAATAAGTAAGTTTATGCATAATTGGGCCGGAATTTTGTTAGATTCTTTTTAGACTCTAGAAGATAAATTTTTGTGTATGCATTTCACAAGATAGATATTTTTTATTTTGAATTAAACAATATACAAATTTTTCGGCTAGTTTAGCCATAATAATACGTAACACAACTACGAGAATGGAAAATATTAAGGGTAGGGGCAGTGGAATAGAGCACGTTTTTCAGCCAGACATAGAGAGGTTTTTTAGCCAATAAAGAGGGTTGAATTGATTATTTTATGATGTTCTTGAGCTCTGCTCAACTGATATGGGTGTTAGCTTGAGAAAAACTCTAGATAATTTAATTACAAAAACGAAGAGATCGCTCTTATACAAGTCTGCATTTGAGGTCTATGGAGCAGTTTTGCTTTTGGAAAAAGAATAAAATTTTTTAAAAATTTTAAAAAAAATATTGCGCCGTTTTCTAATAAAGTATCCACCCTTACGCTAGTAAAAGTAAAAAGTGACACATATCACATTAAGCAAAGCATCAAATAGAAAAAATAGCATGCCTCAAATCAATTTGGAACGATTTCTAAGGCAGGTCATATATCTGCTCACATGTTAATAGCCCAAATTATATCGTGAATTAATTGTCCCAAAAAATCTCTTATCGCCTATAAGTTTACAAAAATTGATCATAGATGAAATATCTTTTTAAATTTGAGCTCAAGACAACATAACCATTGTCAAAAACTGCTAATTAAATCGAAGGTGTTGGTCGGGTGAAAAAGAACCACCCGATCACAAATATTTGGTCATTTTCTCCAAATAAAACAGCACAAAAACACCTTACCATTGGCTAGGTACCTGTGAGCTAGCAAAAAATCTGAAAGCACAAAAAAATCTAAAATCAAAGCAAAGCATTAGAAGATTTTGATAC